TCTCTTTGAAATGACTGCTTTGCCTCTCTCTGTTCTTCTTGTTTGGGTGTTTGTTTTGGAGAGCTATTAGCAAATCCAGAGAGAAAAATAATGATAAAACATTATGGCCCTTTTCAGAGAAACAGTGCAGCATTTTGTTACCTGAAGTTAATTTAATTTTCTGGGGACAATGAAATGCTAAAAAAGCGTATCTGGCCCCGAGATGTTACCATCTTCAGCAGGCAATAGGCGTATAACCAACATCGATCTACGTTCATCTGTGCAAACAGATACCAGCTTGCAGCTGGCTGGAGGCAGCCGGAGCTGTGACGCAGTGTCAGCACAGAAACTCTTCTCACAAGAGAAAGGCAGTGAAGTAAATGGAAACTTCATTCTGCCTTAGAAGAGAAAATAAAGTCCTTGTGGAAAGGCCGGGCGCTGCCTGCACAGTCCAGGAGCGCAGAGCCGCAGGAGGAGCCCCGCGGCCGCGCTGCAACCCCCGGGGCTGCGCACAGGGGTGCGCTGCGTCCGTGACTCCCAAACGGGGCGTCCGTGCGCCCTGTCCGTGACTCCTAAACAGGGCGTCCGTGCGCCCTGTCCGTGACTCCCGAACAGGGGGTCCGTGCGCCCCGTCCGTGACTCCTAAACAGGGCGTCCGTGCGCCCTGTCCGTGACTCCCGAACAGGGGGTCCGTGCGCCCCGTCCGTGACTCCTAAACAGGGCGTCCGTGCGCCCTGTCCGTGACTCCCGAACAGGGGGTCCGTGCGCCCCGTCCGTGACTCCTAAACAGGGCGTCCGTGCGCCCTGTCCGTGACTCCCGAACAGGGGGTCCGTGCGCCCCGTCCGTGACTCCTAAACAGGGCGTCCGTGCGCCCTGTCCGTGACTCCCGAACAGGGGGTCCGTGCGCCCCGTCCGTGACTCCTAAACAGGGCGTCCGTGCGCCCTGTCCGTGACTCCCGAACAGGGGGTCCGTGCGCCCCGTCCGTGACTCCTAAACAGGGCGTCCGTGCGCCCTGTCCGTGACTCCCGAACAGGGGGTCCGTGCGCCCCGTCCGTGACTCCTAAACAGGGCGTCCGTGCGCCCTGTCCGTGACTCCCCGGGCGCCCGTCCTTGTTTCTTTGCCCTGTCACAGCGCGGGGCGCCGCGATGGCGCCGGCGTCCGCCCCGCGGAGCCGCTCTGCTCGCTGCCGCGCACGGGGCTGAGGCAGCGGCCAACGACGGGTAACGAAGTTTATGATTACAGGCAGTATAAAGGCAACAGACCCTAAAACACGAGGAAAGTATACAGTTTTGTCACTTAAAAATCAAGAACCGGGATTGTAATCTAAGCAAAACATTCTTCAGTAGTCAAAATTGAGATGGATTTCTATGAAAGCAAAATGCTCTTAATTTCCTTTGCAGGGGAGCAAGGGGACAGAGGAATGGTGGAGAGACAGCAGAGTGGTGGTGTGAAATTCTTGGGATTGCCCATATCAAAAATAAAAAAACTAGGGGAAAAAAAAGTAGTGCATAATTTCACACTTTGGTATGTTAGCCTGGAGAAACTGTAGAAAGCTGGGGAAATGGCCCAAATGGCTTTGACATATTTAATCTGTTTATCTCATGCAATTTAACTTCACATTCACTGTATTTGTTTCTGAATATCACATGTTGGAGAAAAAAAAAAAAAAAAAAAAAACAGGGAACAACTTTCCATGGATGAGACTTCCATATTTATTGTTCTTCCATGTGCATAGAAAATGGCAGTGAAGTTTCTTATGAAAGAGGCAGGGAATGGGAAATGTGTAGATATACTGGACTGGACTTTGTGCTTTAGAATTATACTATTAATTTTAAAAAGTTTTTTTTTTTAATTTATAACACTTTCTTGGATTTTATTTTTGTATGATGTTTCATGTGTTTTAAAATGACACACTGCATTACAAATGATGGCACTTTTAACCAATGTGGCATTTCCATATTTACACCAACAAAATAAATTTACAAGACGTAATAGCATACAATCTTGACATTTAGTAATAGCAATAAAACCAGGCCATCCATTTTATTTTTTTTCTGTACAAACTATCAGAACAAGACTTTTATTCACATTAAAAAAATCAGCTTTAATCTGCTCTGACCTACACACTTTCAAAATTCATTTTACTCAATTCTCAAACCTTTCATCACATCGCCCACACCCTCACCAGACTACAGGAGCTACAAGTAATTATACCTAACATCTAAACAGAGCAAAAAACCCATCCCTTCCAGTTTTTCTTGCACCTTCCTCATAATTCCTTATTTAAAAAAAAACAAAAGCAAAAAAACTCCTTTGTTCCTTCTTTTACTTCACCTTCACATTTCATCACCAAAACAGCAAATGAGGCCATTCCACTTCTTCTCAAGCAAGATGAGAAATAAACTTTTTTTTTTTCTTTAATGCTACACCCAGGAGTCAGGTGAACCTGGGTACTGTTCTGCTCTATAAGAAGATCGTCTGGTGGAGTAAAAGTCTACGTAATTTGTGGTTGATTTCAGTCCATATTGTGTTGTGTAATCTGAAGTAGCAGGAAAGTGAACTCGGTCATCAAAATATGGGTCTTCATAGCTATGTGGGGATTGCAAATATAACCTGTATGCATCATAGTTTTTTCTGTTGGTATCCTCTTGACTGTAGTACAATTGCTGATGCTGTTGCAAAAATGTTGGGAAAATATTGTTAAAAAAAATAGCAGAGGAAAGACTTGTTTCTCAAACTTACCTTTTGTGGAACTGTGGTGCATAATGTGCTCAAATGCAGCTGCACTGGTGACATCAAGAGCAGAGGCTTCATCCTCTGTGAAACGTACCCGTGTTTACACAAAACCCCCTAAGCCTCCCTGCACGACACCGTCAGCGTTCCCTGGGAACCTCGGAATACCTAACAGTATTTTTAAGGCATGCATAGTTGGAATCTGACTACTCCAGCACATTGGTTTTAGATGCAGTCATAACATTAATACACTAAAATAAGTGGCTATAAAAAGAAAACTCACAGTCAATAGACTAGTAGTTGCTAAAGTCCTACTAAGAATCCTCAGTAACAAATTAACTGTTACAGAAAAATGCCACAAAAAGCTCTGATATTACAACATAGACTAAACTCCCTTAAATTCCACTGAAAGAGCACATGCTGAATCTTGTATCAATATCAATTCAAAATAAAATCTTAAAGTCACCTGTAGTCGTCTGTTTTGTTCTCTTGCTGGTGAGGAATAGGAACTGATGTAAATTGGTGAAGCTTTGCTGGAACCTGTGAGAAAATGTTTATGGCATCAAATTTAGTATTTTTTTACCATTCTTTTTGCCCTTACCCATTGCAATTACACGCAGACTTTGCAAAGTCTGCAGACGTTGTCTCTGCAGCCCGACAGGCCGGCGCTGCAGGTCGAGCGTCCCGGGCCCCGCTGCGCCCGTCCTGCTGCTCCGTCCCGCGCGGCCGCAGCGGCTGCTCCCGGCTCCGCGCAGCAGCGGGAAGAGCTCACAGAGCGTCACCCCTCGTCCTGATAATGTTACAGGAATAACTAACTTAACTTTGCACCCATGAAAACTCAAATGCATTGGGAAACCAAAAACTGAGTCCTAAAAGCTAAGCCCGTGAAAGCCTTTGCCATTATATTCAGTCATATTTATGTCGTTACTATACTGCATATTTACATATTTATGTAGTTACTAAAAAAAAAAAAACACAAAAAAACTCCAGAAAAAACAAACACAACATGCAATTTTCTCTCAAGAGGGCTCATGCTGACTACCTTACATAGCTCCTCTGCAATCTTTCTTTTCAAGTTAATGCAGTACTTTAAAAGTGTAATACAAAATATACAAAATCAAAACATACATAAAATATATACAAATATATCTTAAGGATATTAGTTAACTACTGCAGAATAAAAATAATATACCTGATCCCACACACACAAAAGTTGATTTATAAACAAGGCATCACACATTTCCTTAAAAGTACTAGTGTTTTAACACAGCATTCATGGCTGGAAGGGCTGTTAAATTTCCTTGTGATCATATATCTCTGTTAGTAAACAGTATCACGAACTTTGTATTTAAACACACCAAGAAAATTCAGTCCATCAGCAGCAGTTAAAATTGAAACCAGGAGGGTTTTTTGTGGGTGTTCCTACAACACGGAATTTGTTTCTCCCTGTTCACTGTCACCTCAAGACTGATGTCAAGTGTTACGGAGGAAAGGTGCAAACAAGTATGAAGTCTTGGTACTTCTTTTTTGTAATACTTATGAGTAACGGGATAATAAAACGACTTCCTGTAGCAGTGTTAAACAAGATTACACTTTCCAAATATCTCTTATTTCCTAATATGCAAACAAATCTCTTCTTATTCTGGTAATGTGTGCGATTTTAAAGAAAATAGCACAATGAAGACAGATGAATACTCTGCACTGTTCCAGGTGCAGTGAATATGAATAAAAATGGGAAACATTAAGCAACAGTAACAAGCATGCTAATGCAATTCAACTCTTTTGTTAGCTTAGACAAACTCAGCTTAACACAGGAGAAAAAATAATTTCCAGAAAGTTTGCTTCAAATGTTAATCAATGATACTATCTTATATTAGCCTTGCTCCTTACGTCGCATCCACGTTAAGCAACAGTAACAAGTCTGCTAAAGCAACTGTCCATATCGTGACTGCATAAACTCCTCATATGGGGAACATTTAGATGTTCCTAATTGGTGTCTTACCAGTGTATATGTCTTTATGTGTAAGGACGTCACCTTGGTTGCTGTAATACTGCAGGGAAGGTTGTGTTCGATCATATTCCGAGCGGGGTTCTCTAATTCCTAATAAAGCCGGTGAGGAGGATGTGCTGCCAACTGATGAAAGGAGAAAGATTATCAGTATAGGCAATAAAGCCAATAAAATTTTCCAACCTAACCCCTTTTTCCTCTCCACTCCCCTTTGTCTCCAGGGATTAGCAAACGATAGAGATGGCTGCGCTCATGTAATGCACAAAACTTGCAAATACTTCTACCAAGATAAGGAACCTCAGTGACCAAAGCTAGCGTCACGAAACCATCGAATTATCATTTCATAGTCTTATGGCAAGTCACATCCACAACACTTACAGCTGAGACCCTACCCATTTTGGTTTGTATATGACATCCTGAGAACTTGATTTAGCATTCAAACAAAAATGTAAATGCTCACTTGTGTGCAATCAGAACGTAACACTTCTGCTGGCATTTATGATTTTATGTAAGTTATCCTTAAACACAATTTTAAAATCCCCTGCGACCTGGCTGAAATGACCCATGCACACGTGTGCTCTGTGTTTTGGTTTGCATGCTGAAGGGAGCCCTGGGGATTCTGTGCTCTGGTGGGCTGGTAGCCCCTGTATGATCACAACAGTGGATTACTTATTTTTTATCCCTGCTGTGAATACATAAACCTGTTTTAGTTGTAAGAAGTTTGTTCCAGCAAATCTTTTCATTGAGAACTCAACTGTTTTTTTCGCTTAGACAAACTGCCTAACACAGGAGAAAAAATACTTTCTAGACGTGTTCTTCAGTTGCTAATCAATGACACCATCGTTATCAGCCCTGCTCCTTACGCCACATCCCACGATCCTGTTGTTATGGACAGTTAACATGGACGGCCCTCCGGGGTCTGACCAGGAGCAGCCGCTGCAGCCCGGGGGTCTCTCCCTCGCGCTCCTCGTGCTCGCGGCGCGCGGTGCCATCCGTGGGGAGCCATCACCGCGCTGCGGACACGGCCCTGCTCCAGCCACTGGGCTGCCCTTCACCAGGTGAGGCCTGTCCGTGTTCCGCAGCAGAAAGCAGGCGCTTACTCACAGCATTCCTCACTAAGGGCTCTTTAAAGTCGTCTCTGGATACTAAGTTCGAACTCTTTTTTTTTCCTGTTTGTAGTCCCCAGAACTGAAGAGGGGGGAAGCTCTGAGAGAGGAATGTGGCAGCAGCTACGGACAGTCCAGTCACACACAGGTAGGGTTCGATCGGTGCCCTGAGCCGAATCGCTGTTAGCGTCAACGTTGTTGCTTATTTTGAGGAGCTTTTTTTCAGGTCTGCCTGTAGAGATGTAACTTAAGCAGTCCAAGACTTCGGGGTGTAGGGGTGATGCCAGTGTGCGCAATTTGGCACTGGCTGTGAAAGTAAAAGCTATTTTCAGCACCATGTGCTGTGACAACGACAAAGGAAAAGGAAGGTAAGGAAAATCTCTCAGAATCCTAAGAATTGAGAATGGAACTAAGAGCAGCCTGATAAAGTCACGTAAAACAGGCAGATAGAGCTGCTCCCGCACGGCACCAGGGAAAGCAAAGAGCACTGAGAGGCTCCTCCAGCCCCAGCGCGCCGCTCGGAAACGCGTCTGCCTGGGCCCGGTCTGCCGCCTCGCTGCGGCGGGGCTCCTGGCTCCCCTTTCTGATAAATAAGCAATTAAGGAACAATATTGTATTAACTGGTCACTCATTTCAGCAGTCAAGATATATACATGCCTAAGTAATTAGAGAGATCTGTTCACATAAAAATACAGGAGTTAATTGGGTAAATCCAATGACAAACAAAGAGGACATCGGGAAGGTTTTATACCAGGCTTTTCCTGAACATTTCAGTCCTAGCACTGGAGAAGTTGTAAGAAGAAAGGGGCAGTTTTGGTTAAACTGCAATGAATGACCATGAGTCAGAAAAGTCAGATTTGTGTATTTGACTTGCCTATTTTGGCATCACTAGGGATGAAAACAGGTTCCCCCGGGGGTCTGTGCTGCCCGTGCACCCACGCGTGGCCGTGCACCGGGGCAGAGGCTGCGCAGTGGAGGCCACTCGTCACAGAGACCTGGCTCCGCACCGGGCACCCTGGGGGTCTTGTTTAGGAACAACCTGGGGGTCTTGTTTAGGGACCGGCTGCCCCTTGGCACCCGCGGGAAGCACTCCAGGGCTCTGCACACACAGCATCTGCCTCAGGCTCATGCCAAGGAGACTTGCACATTCTAAGGCTATCTGCATTTTGATTTGCGCTGAGTAAGTGGGGAGACAGGCCTCAAATTGCTCCTTATCCAAAGTAAATGCTCATATTGAGACACCCACAAAGCCGGTGGGATTTGAAGCCTGCCAACAGCATCAGTGAAGGCAATACACTGTACAGAAGCACGGTCTTGCTTGCTTAAATACAGCGGGGAGAGAGCAGGTTTTAGGCAGAGTAAAAAAAAGAGCAATGCCCAAGGGAAGAAGCTCTTCAGAAAACTCTGCAGTCTTCGACTGACCTGACTGTATGACAGGGGACATCTGTTGGTTCGTTGTCGATAAAGAAGGATGCGATTTGAATCTCTCTCGTTCTAGTGTTGACACTGGTGTAATAAAATGACTCTGATTCCATCCATCCTATGGAGTGACATGAACAAAGAACATGGATATAAACTGCTTTTCATTAAAGTAAGAGTTTTTGTGCAACTGTTTTCATGAAGGTGATAATTTTGTAATTTACCTTTTTATAAATGCTACGAAGGTCTCGGTATTGCCATAATGTATTCAGTACCTGGGCAGCTGCCTTGACCACTTTTAGTGAAGACCTAAGGATGCAAAGAATATCACAGTACTGCAAAGTATTCACCCCACTTAAAAAAGAAACATTTTATTCAGTACATTTCATGAAATCCGCCATTGCTTTCTTGCTTCAGACTGCTATTGTTCTTAACAAAATACCTGCCCATTCTCAAGAGTGAAGCTAAGAAAAGAAAATTGTGCTAACTATTGTTAGAAGCAAAATCACATGACTTTTAAAAAGAGAATTGGTAGTAAACTTAGTAGTGGGACTAAAGGAGTGATTTGAAATTAAATGCCAGCATGGCATCTGTGCTAAACGTATGCCTTTTTCTGCCATTGTGAAGATTTATCCAAATTCACCTTTTGAAAGAAAAGACTGAAACAGTTTGTAGTGTCAGCCAGTAAAACTAATATTTTTGCAAGATTTAAAATTTGCTCAGGGTACCCCATGTCCTCAAAGCTTCCATGCAGCTGCAGCTGTGCCCTGTACCTCAGTGTCCAGGAGAGATGAAGTCACATCAGGGATCGCTGCACTCACAGCCACATAAATCCTGGATACTCCAAACATAATCCACAGTCCCAGACTTTGTTAAGTGTGGCGTGTTTATTTCACATCAATCAACTTTAATCGTTGATCTGCACCCGCACATTGGGCTGATTTTATCAGCTTCCTGCTGTCTGCAGAGGGGAGAATGGGGACACATACGGCGGGGAGCTCGGGGCGGATCAGCTGGGCTGGGGAGCTCGGAGCAACGCTCGGAGCCCCGGGGGTCCGCAGGGGTTTCCACCGCGGCTCTGCGCTGGTCCTGCAAGGCTCGAGAGCCCGTACGTGACCCCTGGCTTGAGGCTCTGCTCCCCAGCTCGGGGCGTCCCTGCAGGGCTGCACAGACCTGGTGCTCTGCGCAGCCCCGGAGCAGCTCTGCACGGACCCCAGAGCAGCTCTGCACGGAGCAGCACCCTGTGCTCTGCACAGCCCCGGAGCAGCTCCGTGCCAGGCCGTGTGGTGAGGGCACGGCGACGGCTCCAAGAGCCGCTTCTTCCCATCAGTGCTTCTTCCACAAACCTGTTCTAGAAAATCCCTCTGGAGAGAGAAATGCCTACAACCTGGAGAGATAAACTGCCCACGACCTACCTGCTGGACATGCCTGGGCTCACTAACAGTGGTTGTGGTACATCCCTGCAAAGGTGCTCATCTATCCTGACTTTCAAAAGCTCTAAGCATTTTATTTATGATACCCTTCAGGCTGGGTAGCTCCTCATCAATAAGAGGGGCGCTGTAAAAACAGATAATTTTTTTTCCACCCCGAAAGACATTTCCCACATTTGTAAAACTTCTGAAATGGAACAGATAAACCCTTTGGTGATGATGAAGCTTGTTGCCTACTTGCCTGTCACCTCTTCCCTTGGTTATGTTCACCAGTTTTTCTATTCCTCCAGTGTCGGCGAGGGCTTTGGCGTTTTCCATGTTCTTGCTCGTGACCTCGTGCAGAGCACAGCAGATCGCAGCGACGGTCTCATCGGACAGGACGCTTGGACCGTTGCCTCCGGGAAGTCGGTTCACCAGATCCCGCATGGCATATTTACCTTTAAAAAGAAAGAAAAACACATTTTGGTATTTAAGATGTGTAATTCTAGTACTCATCACAATATTGTATTTGAAAGCAATAAAAAGGAACATATGAACATTTCCAAGAATTCGCATTTTATACAGAGACAAAAGAGATACCAATTTTTCAAATAAATTCTTTTTCTTCTGTCTGAAATGTGAGAAATAAGTTGCATTTGTGTATTACAGCAGGATCATTTGGAAATGAAAATTATTTGGAGGAAGAATATTACATGATTTCTTATGTCTGAAAGGGTGAGGCATATTCCTGGGTTAATGTGGGAGGGTTAAAGAAATCCTTACAGTAGTTTGGAAGTTTTTCTTTCAGCCATTCTGTTCACCTTATCTGTCACCCACAAGAGGTCAGATCTCATTTCTGTCAGATTTCAATTACTGACTGATGCACAGGAATAATCATAATGCAAACAGAGGAAATTAACTGAAGTAAAGGTAAATATTTTTCTTATGTTTAGGTAGGCTGTGTTGATAATGGAATGATCATTAATTGATTTTTTAGAGGACATGTATTTGTATGTAACAGTGAATAATGAATAAGCTTCACAAAAAGCTGTTAACTCTCTATTTGCATTAGATGCCGGAGGAAATCTTCTGCAAACAAAAGGAACTTTTTATGCCTACTGGAAAACGGCCACACATACTGTGAATAGTGGTGCTCTGTCACGGCTCTCTTCTAGCAAGATCCTCAACAGATGTTTGCACATACCAGTTTTTATTGTTATTCATTACAACCCCTGATCTCTACTCTGAAATAACTTAATTTTCTTCAGTGTTTAGACCACCTAGCCCCACTATTCTGGCCCATACCAACCGTGGTGAAGCCACCCCCGACTGCTTACTGGCATAGGGTAGTTTAGGATTTTCTTCATAACTCCAAATGTTTTGTGGAAAGGTAGGTTTTGCAATGGATCTGCAAAGCAAAAAAACTCTGGGCTTTGGCAGGGAGCGGGAGGGGAGGTGCCCAAACTCACAACTCCTGCCAGGAAAGGCAAAGACATCCTGAAAAGAAAACGTCACGTTGGCATTGCCTGTGTGCACGGGTGCTGGAGAGCACAACTGCTAACATAATTCCTGCAGGCCCAGCACACGCCTTGCAGGAAAGTATGCTCTGAGAAGCTTCCAAAATAAACAAACTTTTCAGCTATATTTGTGTTTTTGAGAGCTGTACTCTTATATGCACAAATAGTTTTACATACTCATCACTGTAGTTTGAAATAGAATATTCTCCTACAACAAAAATCACACTTCTCTACAGCACGATACGATATGTGGTTCATTCAGGCTGCATCAGGCTTGGCTGAGGTTGGAGCATGTTGAACACTTGCTGTAAGAGAGCTGGAGACTCTTGAGCAAGGAAGGACAAACATTTTTTTTTGAAGAATGCTAGACAATAATATTAAATTACTTGAAAGGAGAACAGTAAGTTTTTTTTTTCCCCTCTCTAGCAAGCACCACTGCTGAGTATTTAATCCAGCAAAGGCATGCACACACTCTGTACACTGCCCTGCGCTGTTCTTTACTAGGAAGAGTTTCTTCCCTCTCTCGCTACCTAGAATTGTTAAAGGAAACGTTTACTGGCACACAGCTGAGCTGTCATATCCCCTTATGGCAAGCAAGGAACCTGGAAGCCCTCTAGGCAGGTTACCGTTTAGCTCCAAGGAAGCAGAGTTGTTTTCTATCATATTTTGTATCAATGGTTTCCTGTCTGGTTGAGTTTAGCTGAGGTGACTTCACTCCGCAGTAACTAGATTGCTATGCAAGATGGCTCAAGGCAAACCAAAAGACAACATTACTCCGAAAAGCTACTGCTGTCAAAAAGATTAATTTCTGTGACACAAGGGACACGGAATAGTAAAATCCTTTATGCTGCTTCTCTTGCTAGACTCTTATCCTGGTGTTTTTCCAACATAAGGCCTGCAACGCTGGTAACCCTGCCTGCTGCAGCACAGTTCTCTGCTTACCAATAAGCTCCTTGTTACGAACATCCAAGGCCATGTTCCTTAGGGCAGTTGCCACCGAAGAAACGACTCTGTCATTATCCATTCTCAGCAGCTCCACGAGGATTGGCAGTCCCTTCTCCTTTCTGACAGCAGCTCGAATGTATGCTGCAAACTGCAAGAAAGCTACAGTCACTTGCAAACCTGCTACAATAGCCCTGCTGATACCATCTCTCACAAGACGGCAATTCTTAGCTATTGTAGGGAGGGCGTTTTCCAAAGAAGGGATGCTAAGTTAAATGCATATCTTTTCTATTATCATGGAAGGTTGGTTCTTTCCTGTTCTAGGCTCATTCCTAGCCTTTTTTTAAAAAAAGAGCTAAAAGGTTGTTCTTTCCTGTTCTAGGCTCATTCCTAACACAGAACAATATTTTTTTTAAAAAAAAAAAGAGCTAAAAGGTTAAAATCAAAACAGATGACATAACATTGCACATTATATATATTTGTATTTGCACTGGTCTTACTTCAGCAGTACCTTCTCATCTAAATTGACAGTGGGATTGTTTTTTTAACTCTAATGTGCACTGCAGAAAAGATTTCACTGCTTTTAAAATAAATGGCACCAATCTCAAGGCCAGTTTCCACACTGCTCTCTTGCCTACCTTCTTTGCTTTACACCATGGAAGCATTTGCATTTGTGCAATGCATAAGTAGTAGTGACACATGTTAGACATAAACAAGCTTATGCAGAAGAGAAAATTACTGTTTCCTCCTGAACCCACCCCAGCATCCGTTTAAAAGCAAGCAGGTTAAGTACAAGCACAGGAGAGGTGACAGGAATCGAGATGCCCCCGTCGAGGAGGGGCTTCTGCAGCACTACCTTCCAGTTGCCTGCAGAGAGATTCTGCAGGGATCCCGCGGAGCCCTCCAGAGTTGCTGGGTTGGAGCTCTCTGCCAGCAGCGTCAGGTAGGGTTTTACCACAGACGGGTGCCACAGCATTTCCACCCCTTTAGGAGACTTGGAAAATCCCGGTATAGGGCCAACTCCATCCCACTGTGAAATGAACACGCACTTCTGAGTACAGAAAAACTCTATTTTTGTTTTGTTTTTGTCCAAGCCATATGTTTTCATTTTGGCTAAACTATGGTTGATATATTTGTACTAGAAAAAAATAAATTAAACCTGATCCTCCTGCGAAGCTTTTTTTTTCTTCTTCTTTTTTTTCCCCCAGCAACTGGGCTCCGAGTCTTTGCTGGGCGACTCCTTTCCCAACAGGTCGTCCAGCTCGCTGATGCCCAGCAGACGCGCCTGCGGCACCTCCAGCTCCAAGCGGTAGGAGAGGTTTCTCAGGGTGCACACGCAGTTTTCCACTGTCTGAAACCAAAGCAAAAGGTGTTTGGAATTAGTGACTTGGTCACAGCGATACTGCAAACCAAACATATTAAGAAGAGATGAAATTCTGATATTTGGGATACAAGCAGCAATTTCTAATTCTGGGCCTTGGGCATTGCTACTTCTGCTTCTTTGAGAAAATTGAAATGTTGCTGCCGATATCCCCAGTTATGAAAACATTGCTAAAAGTCACCTCTGCTGTAGTGATTTTTTCTGGTATTTACAATAAAAAATAGCATGAGTGCTTTTTATTATTATTTTATCAAGGAATGAATACTTCAACACTGCCAAAACGTTATGCATAGAACCAGTTACTTTGTATTATGCAACAGAATTCGATTGCTTACAAATGACTTCAGGCTGGGAGAGACAACCAGTCAAGCTAAGCACATCACAGTCCTAGATCACACCATGCCATCCCCAACAGATCCTATCGGACGCACAGCTCGGCGTGAGAAGTCACGTAGAGCGCGCACGCACCTTGCTGTCGTAATCTGACGTGCTCACACACGTGTGGATCACGTAGAGCAGCGAGTCCACCAGCCCTTCGCAGGACCTCATTTGCTTCCGGGCTTCTTCGCCCGCAGAGCTCAGGTTCCTAAAGGATCAAAGGGAATGGGAACGTAAATGCATGCACGGCGCACGGCGGTGCACAGGCGGCCGCGCTTCACCCGGGTGCTGGCACAAGTCTCTTACACAGCTGTTTGACTCGAGCAGTTAAAAGCAAATGCACCACTTGGAGCAACCACTGCCTCCCGCCCGCCACACTCTTCATAGAGGGCAGCTTCAATTCACACTAGTCTTGACACGGAAGTGGCTCCCTGACAAAGCCCACCACGAGCCCAATCTCTCCCCACTGCCCTTCCACCCCAAGCTCTCTCAGCAGACCTGACACAACTCTCAGGTCTGTGTCCGCCGCACAACAGGTCCCTGAGCTTGCCCACGTTACAGACACCCTTTGTGGCCTCTTGTAACACCCAGGCAAGTCCAGGCAGCTCTCTGTGGTCGCTGTCACTGGCGGCAGCGCTACGCAGAGGGCTGCAGATGTATGGAGCTGTGGCCAAGGAACAGGCTGCGGCGTGCGCAGGACCGCGCGGGGAGGCAGCCGGGACGGGATGCACGAGGCTGCAGGGAGGGGCTGGCCAGAGCCGCCGCGG